AGACGGTCCACATCCCTTCCCCTTTGTCAATGAGACGGTCCACATCTCTTTTGGACTGAGCTCTATTGCTGTCTAAGCCCTCTCATGACGGTTTAACTCTTAACTCAGGCATACCAGACAGACAAACACCCCTCCATTTTCTCAGGCTTAGCTACCACCAAAATACTTGCAGGTCCCTAGGGCCCAAAGTGATTGACAGCGGGCATCCGAGTACAGCTTATGGGATCAGCTATTTCTGACAGAGACCACAAATAATTTTTGGACCTGTATCTCCAATAATGCCTAAAATACCCCAATTTCCATTGCCAAGGTTTTCTGTTGTTCTTGTATAATTTTAGGTTGATGATCATGGAAAAAATGTATTTTTAAGTTGAGGGAAATGTCTAGTAATGGGAAAATTGAAATGCTATCTGAGAAGAAAGGGTGAAGATTGGTGCACGCCTGTGACTCCTGCACTCCAGAGGCAGAGGCGAAAAGAAGGATGATGAGCTTGAGTCTAGCCTGGGCTATATGGCAAGACTGTTTCCAAGAACCAACTGCGGGGATGCATCTCAGTCACACAGCACTAGCCCTGCCTGGCAAAGTCCTGGTTTCCTGGTACCATAGCAACAAAAAAGATAAACAGGAACGAGCTGTCTATTACACGCATGGGCTTGTAGGGTATGAGCTGGTGAATGAAGACAGGCACAAAAGGCGCATTCCCTGTCCTCTGCTTAAATTATCTGTATTGTTGGAAAAGAAGAGCAATACCCACTACACCTGTAATATCATTAGGGGTTTTAAAAACAAGTCAAGGATATAAAATTAATTGTTTGGGCCAATCGTGGTGGTGGTGGTGCACAATTTTAATTGCCACACTCGGGAGGCAGAGGCAGGTGGGTATCATGAGTTCGAGGCCAGCCTGGTTTATAGAGCGAGTTCCAGGGCAGCCAGGGCTACATAGTAAGAACCTGTTACAAACAAACAAACAAACAAACAAACAAGCAAGCAAGCAAAGCAAAGCTAGTTGCATTTCAAGCTCTAACTCAGTCACAGTTTTTTTCAGGCTTTGGTAGAGGATGTGGGCGTAAAAAACATACTTGAAAGTGTAACATCCAGGGTGAAGCTTCCCAGTGGCTGTTCTAAATGGACAGACGGTCACTGAGATGTGTAGATGATGGTAACGTTGGTACATGGTGTTTTTTACCTGGGAGTTCTTTATAATAATAAAGCTTCAATAAATAATAATAATAACACAAGAATCCACCTTAAGGCCAGGAGGAGAGGAAGTGTGGTAAATCTTTCACTTAGGAAGGGCAACTGTGCTCGTGAAAGCTGAACTTTCAAAGAGTCCTCTAGTTCAGAACAACTCTTGTCCTGAAGTAGAAACGACAGGACCCATGAGAGGAAGCGGGCGCAGGGACGCTCCGCCTGCAGACATGCGAGCGGCCGCACAGCACCTTCCTTACTGAAGTCTGCAGCCTGTAGGTTTTCTACATGTTTGCTGCCTGTCTTCTTAGAAGGGCAGTGGAGCAGGAGAGTTCACGGCTACGTGAGGATTTGAACGCATCTTGAGTGAGGGATTCTTTAGCAGGCTGGTGTCATAGCTAAGGGCTCATTCCTGACCTGTGCTGGCATTTTATGGGCTCCTATAAAACATCTGCTTTCAAGACAACATTCCAAACTGGCTCATCCTGGCTGGCATTTCTGACATTTCTTGAATACTGTGGAAATAAGGGAGGAAATATTAGCTGTATTATGTTTTACAAGTAAAAAGATCACAGGGACTGTGAAATTTCAGATGAGGATTCCAGCAGAGTAAAATGTAAATTTTATTAAATTTAGAAAGCTTGATTTGGTGTCAGGTAAGACCTATTTGAGTGGAAACTTAAAACTGTGCTCTTAAACATTTTAAATATAAATTCCAAACTCCAATAACATCATTCTTTTCTATGTCACATATACAGATATGTATACATGTATATATACATATATGACATATACGTTCATTAAGACGACAATGGTGATCATAGAGGCAGATGGATGTCTTAGAGGACTCTACAGCACCTCAGCCACACACCGTCACTCTTTAATCCTCAGGGCAGCCCGTGAAGGAGACAGCTGTGTCCTTTTCAAATATCAAGACTCCAAAACCTCATAAAGCGGCACAGTTGATGGATGACGGAGCCGGTGTCTGAAGGCTGTGACCGACCTCAGGTGCCTCCTCTTAATCCTCGTGCTACCCAGTCAGGCTAACTGCAGGGTTTTTTAAGTATGTTCCCTATGTGGCATGGTCTGAACACTTGCTAAAAATACATTCTCTGACACCTGCCTAGATTATGAGATTATTATGGGTTGTTTATTCTCTCTCCTTCCCCACCTCCAAAAAAAGTCATACACAAAATGGGTGTGACTGCACTAGGAGACAGGTCTTTGCAGAGGTAAGGTTAGACGAATTGTCCGGGATGGGCCCTCACTCAATATACCTGGCACGTTTTAAAGACAAGATAACTGGAACGCAGGACAGGCAGAGAAGACCACACACAATGAAGACCAGCAAGAGGGGAACTTCTCACAGGGTGGCGGTGGTGCACGCCTGTAGTCCCAGCTCTTGGGAGGCAGAGGCAGGCAGATCTCCATGAGTTCAAGGCCACCCCAGTCTACATGAGCGAGTTCCACAGAGAAACCCTTTCTTGAGAAGAAGGCAATTTCTCTACAGGGAAATCACCCCTGCCAATACCTTGACGTCTGCACCTCTAAGGAAATGTCTCAGTAAGGCTCCCAAGTGAGGTGTCCTTGTCACAGCATCCCCAGCATACGGAAACATGTGTGGGCAACTGCCTAGCCAGCTGACGCCCACAGCTTGACAGTGGGCTGGCCTGACAGGCTGGGACACTTTCCTCAACTACCCAAACAGTGACTGTGTGGATGAATACAAGGAGACTCTCAAAATTGCATGCTGGCCTGTGGTACAGGTCTACAACCCCAGCTACTCAGGAGGCTGAGGCAGGATGCCTGGGATACACAGCGAGTTCCAGGCCAGCCTGGGCAACATAGAGAGACCTCGTTTCAAAAGAAAAAGCCAGCAAGCCAAGCAAACATTAACAACGACACGAGGGCTGGGGTTAGATCAGGGCAGAGTGTTTCCTTAGCACGCTGGAGGACCTCTAGGTTCAATGGCACTTGTTCGCCTAACATATGCAAGGTCCTGGGTTCAAGTCCCACTACCCCAGAAAGAAAGAAGGAAAGACAGAAAGAAAGGGGAAAAAAGAGGAAGAGAGATGGGGATGGGGTGTGGGGAGAAAGGCCCCCAACTGGAATGTGTTCCAGTTCACTGCTTTCCTGTTCTCTTGTCTGGCACTCCTGGTTGGACACAGGTCACCAGGTCAGGCACACAGTAGGTTCAAAGCAACCATGCTGAGTGCATTAGTTGCCTACACCCCTGACTGGACACAGGTCCACGAGGTCAGGCACACAGTAGGTACAAAGCAACCATGCTGAGTGCATTAGTTGCCTACACCCCTGGCTGGACACAGGTCCACCAGGTCAGGCACACAGTAGGTACAAAGCAACCATGCTGAGTGCACTAGCTGCCTAGGAGTGGTGGTGTCTGCTGACATGGAGGTGGTTAATCACCAGCTGTGCACAGCCTTGCACACCCACACTGAGGATGTCATTGGGAAGAGTCTCACAGAGTGGACACGGTTAGAACGTTGTTCAAAGGTGAGATGTTATTAATATCAATTCACTTCTCCTGGTGAGCAGAGGCATTTCTCACAGAAGAGGCCCACAGTTAAACGTTTTGTCTTTTAATCCTAATCCACAGCTAAAACAAGGAGAGTTAGGAAAAAGGCAGGTTGCTTACGTAACTCAGTACGTCAATACTATAATGAGATATGGCTATTTTTTTCCTGTGAAAAGTTCCACGTGGCATAAACCTGTTATTTTAAGATAAAAGTAACCTGCAAATCTATTTCCATTTAAAATCTATTTTATAATGACTTTTTTTAAAAAAGAAAAATACATTTTCTCTCTGCTGTGGTCTTTCCTTTAATACTTCATTTGGTGCCATATTTAGCATATACAGTAATTGAACAATGACTCAGTTTGTGGTATTCTATGAAACTCACATACAGGGACCTGTAGAGATGAGCACCAGCTGTTCTTACAGAGGACCTGGGTTCAATTCCCAGCACCCACATGGAGGATTACAACCATCCATAACTCCAGCTACAGTGGATGCGACACCATTTTTGGCCTCCGCATGTACCACATGCCCATAGTATGTACACACACATGCAGGCAAAACACCCATGTGCGTTAAAAAAAGGAAAGAAAAGAAAAACACATAAAGATGAGCCTTTGCTTTAAAATGTATAGTACATAGGTATGGAAGAAAAGAAAACCTGCGGTTCAAATCTATGAATCTTTGAAGCAATCATGATCTAAACAAACAGTATCAGATTTTAACTCAAGTACTTAGAAAATCCATTTTTAACTTAATTTCTCTTTGAAAGACATTAGTACTATATTTGAGTATCTCAATATCAAAACAGACCTTAAAGCCGGGGATTACGAGGCATGGCACTGGTTCTGCTAAAACAGAGAGACCAAACAGAGCCTAATAACTGAGTCACAAGGGGGCATGGGGGCTGATATACAGTGTAAAATCAGAATGACGTTATTCAGCTTTATAAAGGGGGGAGGGAGTTAAACACACCGTGCCAGCCCACCATGTATCCTTTCCCCTTCCTATTACAAAGCAAGCAGTACTTCCCTGCAAAACAAGAAAGCAGTGGTGTATGCAGACATACTTCATGGTGTGACATTAAGATTGCGCCATTGATTAACAAAGACGGCATGTTGCCTGGCTGAGGACGTCTCATGGGCTGTCTGAGTTTGTGAATACTTTAAGAGCAGACTGGCCAGAGTATCTTCTCAAGTTATAATTAACTTGGAAACTATCAGCACATAACTGATGGGGGGGAAAAACTTTAACGGAAGGAATTATGGAATTTGCCAATGAAACGAGAGAGCTAGCACATAACCAGTTTGAGGTATTTCTTACAATCACGTATAGTGGCGGTGGTGGCGCACGCCTTTATTCCCAGCCCCCGGGAGGCAGAGGCAGGCAGAGCTCTGTGAGTTCGAGGCCAGCCTGGTCTACAAAGCAAATTCCAGGACAGCCAGGGCTACACACAGGGAAACCTTATCTTGAAAAACAAAGAAAAGACTACAATCAGCTATAATAGTCAGGACAAACGGGCATCATGAACATAAAAAACATATCGGCTTAGTGGATTCTGCCTCTGAGCTGGCACAGGGTTGCTGTAATCTTTGGATGCTTCCTCCACTCTTTCCTCCTCCTGCCCCTTCTCTTCCCTCCAGTTTTTGAGATAGGTATCACTCTGTAGCCCAAGCTGGCCTGAAACTTATGTAACCCAGGCTAGCCCCCGCCTTGCAGCGACCCTACTGCTCTATTCGCCTGAGTTTTGGGGCAATGGGCTTGAGCCATCACATGTGGCCTGACACTACTTCTCACCTTGTTCAGAGTCTGCATAACAAGCGTGGTCATTTGACAATATCCAGTGTGATGCATTATCCATAAAAACTAAGAAGCATACAATTTTATTTTCATGTTATTTTAGCATACTAAACTCTCTAAATTAGGTTAAGAGCACTGCCTGCTCTTCCAGGGGTCCTGAGTTCAATTCCCAGCAACCACATGGTGGTTCACAACCATCTGTAATGAGATCTGGTGCCCTCTTCTGGCATACCGGCATACATGCGGACAGAACACTGTATATGTAATAAATAAATAAATTGTAAAAATAAAGTAAAATAAAATAAACTCTCTAAATTATAGTATGAGAGAATGATGCTAGAATAATCACAAGGAAAAATATTGAGATTATCAGAGTGTGGTGAATCAGCAAATACATGTATTAATACCTTCTTTTAAAAATCATTTCTAGACTGGGTGGTAGTGGCACATGTCTTTAATCCCAGCACTTGGGAGGCAGAGTCAGGTGGAGCTTAGTGAGTTTGGGGCCAGCCTGGTCTAGAGTTCCAGGACAGCCAGTACTGTTGCAGAGAGAAACCTTATCTTGAAAAACCAAATTAATTAATTAATTAATTAATTAAAAAAATCATTTATCGGTACACAGGGATTAATTACCACAGAATTGCAGCTCTATTCAGTTTAATGCCAGTAAATTCACTGTGCAATTAAATGGAAATCTTTCTAAGATGCATTATTTCTCCTTTCCTGAGTGACTCACGAGTCACAATTATCCTAATAGATTTTTTTTTAAAAAGTACACTCCAGACCCAGGCCCAAGGGCACGCAGTGCCGGGGAGGCCAGAAGAAAGCAGCGTATCCCCCGGAACTGTAGTTAGAAGCGGTTGTGAGCCACCCACGAGGATGCTGGGAACTGAAGTCAGGTCCTCCAGCTCTTCAGTCCCTGCTTTAATTCGTACGCGTACTTTCTCTGGTTCGATGCTGTTGCTATCTGCCTTTGGCCTTGGCACCGTCCCCTGTGCCGGTGGCCTGCCCTCCAGAAGTTCCCCCTTCTCTTTCTAACACTGATGTTTTCCTGTGTTGGAAAACTAACACGTCATTTGGGTGGGCAGGGCACACGGATCAGAGCGAAACAAAACAATCACTGTGCGGCATGTTGTGGATGGTTCTGTTTTCTGTGGCCTTCTCTCTTTTACCGGGTGAGGTTTCTATGTAAATATGTGAAAATGTTTTGGAGGGGTCTGTGAGAGGGCTTAGGGAATAAAGGTGCTTGCAGCCAAGCCTGATGACCCAGAGTTCAATTCTCAGGACCCAATAGTGGACAGAATCAGCTCTTGCCACTTATCTGTGCCCCCTACCTAATAAGAGAATAATGATAATGATGTAAAAAGTTTGTTTTGATAAATTATGTATTTCTATGCTAAGTGAGGAAATCCCCTTTCTCTGGGGTGGGGCAGGGGTGGTAGATATTTTTCTTTTCACTGTTCCCTAAACAATGCAGCTCGTTAACTGTTTACTTAGCATTCCCAGGGTATTGGGGTTCTAGGTTACCCAGACATGACTTAACCGTATGGAGGAAGAACAGAGCTTATATGTAAAGCCTGTGTGTGCTGTTCACGTGAGGCTTGAGCATCACAGATTTTGGTATCCATGGGAACAAGGTACCGAAGTGCACACACCAAAGACAGCTGTGTTAAGAGAATGCTAAGCATTTTCCTCGTTAGGTGAGTTGATACGGTTTTAAAGATAATTTTAAAATTTTTGTAAACCCTTTTACGATTGGAGCACTTCACACACGTGTATAACGTGTTTTGATGAAACCCAGCCCCACCCCCTCCGACTCTCTCCTATCCCCTCTTCCGCCCTCCCCCGACTTTTCCTTCCCAACTTGATGTGCTCTTTTTAAAAACCCATTGAGTTCACTCAGCCCTGGCCGTGTGTGACGAGGTGGGGGAACTAGGGCCTGGGCGGACTCTCCGGTCCCACATCCCTGAAGAAAACGGAACCTCTCTCCCCCAGCAGCCATCAGTTGCCAATAGCCCCTCAGGCAGGGAAGGGAGGGCATGAGTCCTCCCCCCCTCCGCCCCCCTTCCTGGGATTTTGGCTTGCGAGTTCTTACACGGGTCTTATGCATGGAGCCGTAGCGGCTGTGAGTTCGGACGTGAAACAGCCCTGTCATGTCCAGCAAACACTGTTTCACTGCAGGCAACCTTAACCTCTGGCTCTTAACAATCCTTCTTCCTTTCTTCCCTGATGCTTCCTGAGCCTTAGAGACAAGGAGTGTGATATGGACGTCTCATTCGGGGCTGAGCACCCCACAGTCTCCTACTGTTCTTCGATCAGCTGTGGGTCTCTGTATTAACTGTCATCTACTGCAGAAGGAAGTTTCTTCCATGAGGGTTGAGGGATGCACTAACGTATGGGTATAAAGAATTCCATCTTGCCGGGCGGTGGTGGCGCACGCCTTTAATCCCAGCACTCGGGAGGCAGAGGCAGGCGGATCTCTGTGAGTTCGAGGCCAGCCTGGGCTACCAAGTGAGTTCCAGGAAAAGGCGCAAAGCTACACAGAGAAACCCTGTCTTGAAAAACCAACAAAACAAAACAAAACAAAAAACAAACAAACAAACAAACAAAAAAAGAATTCCATCTTGCTGGTTGGTGGCACACGCCTTTAATCCCGGCACTTGGGAGGCAGAGGCAGGTAGATCTCTGTGAGTTCGAGGCCAGCCTGGTCTATAGTACAAGTTCCAGGACAGCGAGGGCTGTTACACAGAGAAATCTTATCTTGGAAAAAAAAATAATAATTCCATCTCTTGAAGCTAAAAGTCTCTCTGAGGACTGTATTTCACAAGGATTGAGGCATCACTTGCTGTAAGCTGCTTGCTTGGCCTGAATTCATACCATATCCTTAGCTCATTTTACCTAATCTAGACATTCAGGCTCTTGGCTGACTTGCCTCTGGTGAGTAGGGTGTGACGTCACTTCTGGAATAAGTTTATCACTGCTCACAGTCTAACAGGGCTCTGTTCTAGCCTGCTAAGTAGCATCCTGGGGCCAGATAAATTTAGCAACGAGAATTTCCCCCCGACTTGTTTCCATGACAATGTCTGGGGCATTTTTAGCTCAGATGAATTCAGTAAGGTCTGTAGTAAAAGGGACATTGGAGAGTGGAATTTTCCCACTTAGAGATGATAGATTGTAACTATCTGGTCCTGGAAGATACAAAACTAAAACGGGAAGAGCCAATAAACATCTTTGGAATATTTGAGCACAGAAAAAAGCAGTTTGGTCAGGTCCATTTTTTCTTGGAAGCCGTGGCCTGAGATGTAGGGATGTAGTGGGAACTGGCCCAACTGCCAAGATGAAAGAGCTCGTTTGGACTTGCTTTGAAGGAGTTCAGTGGCTCTCAACCCTCCTGATGCTGCGGCCCTTTAATACAGTTCCTCACGTTGTGGTGATCCCCCCCAACCATAAAATTATTTTCCTTGCTACTTCATAACTGTAATTTTGCTTCTGTTATGAATCGTAATGTAAATATCTAATATGTAACCCCTGTGAAAGAGTTATTTGACCACTGAAAGGTCGCGACCCACAGGTTGGGAACCATTGCTCTAGTTGGTTTCAGGATGGGCACGTATACCAAAATCAATGCCAGTTCCCATGGCAAATGCTTTTTCAGTCAGGGCACTCCGGGCTCTGATGTTCTCTTACTTGGCTTGGGCCAGTACTCCAATGACCTCTGCATACAGATCCGCCACAATGTGCATATTGCCAGTATTGGGACCCAGGTACCTGAGTGAAACAGAATTAGACAAGTTAGGGATCTGGTGGCCAGAAAAGAGCACACAGATCACTTAGTTTCAAGCGCTCAACTTTGTCAGTACCCTAAGGAGAGAAGTCATCTTACCCTTCTTTGTATTTAAAGTGTTTGAAAGCCAGGTTGATAATATCATGTATTAAGCTGTCTATTACAGGATGAAGGGGAATCTGAAAAAAAGAAGATGACGTTGAATTTGGAAGGGATTATTAAATGGCCTGTCAACCACAGTGATTCTACTAATTACATATATATGATCCATTGCAGTCAATGAACATGATTCACATTGCCTAGTATTTGGGATTCATAAACCATAAACTCAGACCTTTAAAATTTAATTAGTTTTACAAAGTGTTAACAAAAGAGTGATAATAAATGAATTGCTCACCTGTTTCAAAACTTCTATTAACACTAATGAAAAAATAAAGTCAATGGCGAGGTCCCGTCTTTCCATTAAATAGTCTCGCTGCTGTTCATCACTACAAAGTTAAAAACATCACAGTAAATGGCTCTGAAGTCACATTTAGGGTGAAATACTTCATCAGAAGACTGCTCTCAGCCCCACTGGACCGGGACTCTTTCTGTTATGAGGAGACCACACATTACCTGCCTAGGAAGGCTGCTTCTGTTTTTACTATGGTTCAATGGGCACATACTGCCGGAATGTATGACTTCAAAGATCCCAACCACATAAGCTGAAGTAGTTAGCCATCTGTGGGTCTCTAGTCTCGTTCTGTGGACTTCTCTATAGTTCCCTTACAGCCCAGGAATGCTACTGTTCATAAAATCTGATCCATACATGAGACGGCGCTTCCACGGAGGAGGTGTGTATTCAAAGGACCCTGGGACATAATTCAGCGATGTAATTAACGGAAAGATTTCACAAAGGATCCTAAGTCACAAGAAGCTCGTATCATCATCAGTGGGAGTGAGACCAGCAATGCTTTTCTGCTCCTTCTTGCTGTCCCTTCATCACTTGGGATTTGATGGCGGGAGGAAGGAATCGAAACTGGAAGAAAGACCAAAATGAAGCCGGAAGAAGGAGCAGAAGGGAGAGGTGGAGTCGACTCATTCAAAGGTTAGGGAGCCCAAAAAGGAATGTCAGGGGCAGAAATGCATCATCCCTGTCCCAGTTTCCTGCTTCCTGGGCACTCTGAAACTCTGAAAGCGATTCACACCCTCGGCCTTCAGCGGCGGCGGCGGCTGCAGGGACGGTGAGGTGGGTCCTGACTTAAAACTATGTATGACTCTTCTGCTTGCTAGCCATGTCTCCGCCTACGAAATGGAAATGCAAATAACACAGGTGGAGTGTCCCCCGTCCCCGAATACTGGGGACCAGAGAGTCAGATGTTCTCTGACTTGGGAGTATTTGTACCTGTGAAATCTTAGGGAGAAGACCCAAATCTAAACATGGAACCCGTTACGTCTCACGAGTCCCTTCTATGTAGCCTGATGGCAATTAGAACTGAGCATGCTCCCGGGTTGTCCGTCTCTGTGGCGTAAGATCAGCTGTGGAACCATTTTACTTCTGACTTCCTGTCAGCATCAAACTTTTTTTTTTTTTGAGCATTTCAGTTTTGGATTTTTCCAATTAGGGATGGTCAATGTTACTTACATGAAGGTTTGACGTGATCAGGCACATACAGTATTTAGTGTAATCTCCTAAACACATAGTGTCTGTACTTGTTGAGGATGATAGGATATGCATTCCTTTGGAAGGTATTTGCAAAATAAGCCAAAGGAATTTTAAGCATGGAATGCTTTTGTTTTTAGGCATGAGAGAGTAAGAAGAAAAGGTGGGATTTAAGATATATATGTATACATGTACACACACACACACATATATATATGTATATATATACATATATATCTCCACACACATACATAAACTTCTGGAAGTGCCTGTGGGAAGTTACATTTAGTAGGTTGGTGAGGTTAAGAAAGGAAGTCATGAAGGAAAGCTGTGGTTTCACTTTTCCAAAGGAAATCATTTCAGATCGTTTATGAGCAGCCGGCCATAAGGAAGCCTGCAGCAAATTCATCTGAAAGTCCTTCGAGACCCACTTGAGCCAGACGGCTAGAAAGTGGTACTGTAGTCAGGGAATGGACATGGCACAAAGCTGTATTCACAGAGAGGATTCTCCTATGGAGACTGAGATGTGCGCACACAAGAAGGAGACAGCAAGTTTGAAAGCAGCAGAAGCAAGAAAGGTCTGAAGACAGTCGGCAGCAGCAGAGAGCACTTTCTCCTCAGATGGTGGTAAGAGCTCTTTAAAAGTGGCCGGAGAGTACGGTAGCTCCACACTACCTGCCTGAAGGGAAAGCCTGACACCCAAGCTTGATTCTGAGAACCCACAGTGGTGCTGACGTCCCAAAGCTGACCTTTGGCCTCCACACAAGGGTATGTACACATGCACTCATACCCCCCACCTCCCCACTCCCCTCCCCTCCCCCTCCCCCAGGAATAATAATGATAATGATGATAATAATAATAACAAATAAAACTTAGAATTGTTTCAAAAGGAAAAAGAAAATCAACCCCCCCCAAAAAAAACCCAAACCTTTTAAAACCTTTTTAAATCTTTGATTATTATTTAAGAAGGCAAATTATGCTTTCAGATAAAAGATAAAGACTTTTCTAATAATTAATTCAATTTTGAGACCTAGTTGAGGTTCAGCTGGTAGGAGCCAGAGGCACCCGATACGCACTTTTGGCAGTGAAAATGTTGCTATTACACTGATCTTAGAAGCCAACCCCAGGGTCAGCTCCTCCCACTGGGCTATTTTCAGTTGCCCGGGCCTCTCCCTGAGGTTTCCCTTTTAGTCTCAGCCTCTGCGTCAGGCACTCAGACCCTCACCCTCTCAGCTTGTTCCCAGGCACAGACTTTTTTATATTTTGAATGTTGAAGCCTAGCTAAAACACTACTGAGGTAAACTTAACTGTTCTAATTCTGTGGGCATTTGACCTCAAGACTGACCCTGGTTTCCTGCAAAGAACCAGTAGTGTTTAAAAAACAAAAGCAAAAACAAACAACAACAACAACAACCCCCTGCACTTTCAGTTCATCAGGAAATCAGCTCACACAGAATCTAGTCTTGGTAACCTGATTCTGGGAGGGCAGAGGACAAAAGACTAAACTCACTTAGTTCAGTTTGGCTGCAGGGGGTGGATCTCTGTGAGTTCCCAATCTGGGCTACAGAGTGAGTTCCAGGAAAGGTGCAAAGCTACACAGAGAAACCCTGTCTCGAAAAACCACACACACACACACACACACACA